CTGGGTGGAGTGGGAAACGAGGTGGTGGGACTCTCAGGGAAACTTCCCATAAAGTATGTGGTGAGGACCCATGGGCCGGGGAGCCTGTAGGGCCAGCCAGGCTGACATGGCACATGCTGGGGTCCCTCCTGCTGGCCCTGACTTGTGGCTAAGGACAGCTTGGGCCTTCACACCTTCCGGGGTCTTCTGAGAGGCCCCCCACTCCTCACCTCCTCATGCCATTGAGTGGAAGGGCAGTGCCCTTGACCCAACAGTGTTGCTGAGGCTTCAGCCCTGCCCCTCCACACTTGACTGGCAGCTCCAGGGGGCAGCTGGATCACTCTGCCCAGAATAACCCTGGGCGGGGGGAGGCAGTCATGCGTGCCCCTCCTCTGCAAGCTGCCCACATCGCGCAGCCAATCAGCTGCTCCTGAGCCTGCGCTTGCCTTTCAAGGCCAGCGGGCAGCGACAGCCCTGTGAGTGGCAGGCCTGCATGACTTTCCTTTTGACCTTTTCCTCCCAGGCCTCAGTTTCCCCTGTTCAATGGGGAAATGGGCATTGATCTTCTCCTTTGTATCTGTAGCTCTGGGACTCCTGAGAGGTGGTTTATGGTGTCCCCTGGGGAACGGTGCAGGTGTGGGAGGGGCTGGCTGAACAGGTGGGGCTCAGGGACCCCAGCCCCTGCCTGGGTTCTACCAGCTACTCCAATAAATTGGGGTCCTCAGACTATTTCATTTGCACAGTGCCCTGGGCTGTGGCTGAGAGCCCAGACAGCTGTTTCTGGTAGCATCTGTCTCGACTTCACAGCTGTTCTGTCTCTGGTGGGCTCCCTGCTTGGCCTGTGTCCTCCTGGCCCTGTGGATGTACCTGAGTGGTGGGAGGCTTGGGGGGCGGCACTTCTCAGAATTGGAAAGTGGTGACTTCAATGCACAGAGGAGGCCCAGGCCCTGGGGACGGACAGTGGAATGAGAGCCAGTGCGAAGGCAGAGGCTGATGACCTGCAGAGCCTCAGTTTCCTCATCTACAAGATGCAGGAGCACCTCCTTCCCACGTGTGGGCATGTTCTTATCATTAGGATTCATGACCACTGCAGTGTGAGGCCACCATCCAGAGCATTTCACACACGGCGGGCGTGGGCTTTGGTTTTCCCATTAGCTCCTGAGGGAAGGAGGCCCAGCTTTGAAAGTGGGTGATTGGGAGTCCAGAGGGTGGCCTAACTGCTCAGTGGCAACATCCTGTGGACCCAGGCCACTGGACACCCCTATCCCTCCTGGGGACAGTGGCCAACCTGTGCTGGTGAGGGATGGGATCCGGACTTGCTCCTTATGGTGGGGAATGGTCCCCCATTCTGTAAAGTCCAGCTGAGGCGGAGAGGGCTTGGTGCTGCCCCCAGACTCTAGAAAGGAGCTTCAGAGGCAGGGCTGGAGGTAGAGTTCAGAGCCAGGTCACTCCCCCACCCCAGCAAATGGCGCAGCCCTGGGCAGACACCCAGGGTGGGGTCAGCTGCTGCCATTTGGGGACCTGGAGGGGGCCTCGTGACTGCAGAGGCTGCCTTCGTGCCAGGGAGCTGATGCAGCAGCCTCGTGGCCTGACGGGCTGCCAGGTCGCAGAAGTGGGGGCCTCGGTGTCTGCCTCCATCTCCCCAAAAGGCTTGTGCTCTCATTCCCCACTCATCTTGGCTTATTTGGTATCGGCAGAGGGGCAGGACAGCTGGCTGAGGACCTTCTAATTATAGCGGCTCAAGTATTTGAACAGAGGTATTGAGTACCTCGACCATGTCCTGCTCTTTTGTACAGACAAATAACTCTTTAACCTTTCTTCTGAAGCACGGCCACTCCCTGTTTATTGCCCAGGCAGCCCACCTCCTCCCTCCCGGTGCCCTGGCAGAGGCCAGCATGGGACCTCTACCCCCAGTCTTACCTTGGCTGCAAGGGTCCAAGTGGATCTCCTCTGGTCCCGCTGGCCTCGAAGCAAGCTTCTCTCTAAAAGGTTTTTGGAAAAATGCATTTTCTTAACACCGAAGGTCCAGTCTTCTTGACACACATGCCTTTTCCACAGTAACGGTCCAGCGGCACTTCGAGACCCAACTTTTCTCTCTAACGAATATAGTCTGTGGCCTGGGCCTTGTGGGACCCTGAGCTCCCCCTTCTCTTCCTCCACCTTCTGGGCCCTGTCCCCTGGTGTCAGTCTGGGTTTGTTGTCCCTACTCTCATCCTCCCCTGCACATAGTAGGGCTGCTGATAGCAAGCAAGGCCTGGGGCAATGACTCAGGGAGGCCCCTATCTATCACACCTGGTCAGCAATCTCTCTTCTTCCTCTCAGGTGGCCTGGAGGTGAGATGGCTGCTTTCTCCCTGCAGGGAGCAAATGCCTGGCCCAGGATCGGATCAAAAGGTCTGAAAAATTATTCCTGTCCCCCCGAATTTATCGGTTTAGACAATTTGCAAATTTGTAAACTTCTTAGAATGGAACTAACTTAAGCCCTCCATTTTGCAGCTGGGGCTCACTGCCCCCAGTGGGCAGTGAGTCAGCAGGTTCCTGAGGCAGCTCTGTCCTGTCCCAGCATGGCCACCCTCCTGGCTGACCTTGGAGAATCAGTATTCCAGCATCCACGGCCTGCTAGGTACGTCGCCCTCCTCTCTTACACTGACAGCTTCTTTTTGGAGGTAGAATTCTAGAGGAGGTGGAAGCAGAATAACCCTGCTAATCTTGTTATGTGTAACCTCGGGATTCCTAAAATCTATCACCACCACAGAGCAGGGGGGAGAAAGCAGTCTGCCCTTGGAGGAGCTAGGTGACCCTGGACACTTAACAGTGATCACCTTCCCCTTCTGTGTGGTGGGCAGCAATTTTCAAGGGCTGCTTTGATTCCTTAATGAAATGAAATAGAAAATGCCTGGCCCTCGGTGGCAACTCAGCTCACGTGCGGACGGCGGGCTCCTCAAGGGGATGCGTCTCCTCAGGGGTCCCTTTGAAAACACTTCTAAGTTTTTAGAATTCAGAGGGAAGATAAGGGCCAAGAGGGAGGGCAGTGCTGGTTTCCGGAGGGCATTTTCTTGAAGCCACTAACTTTTTTATTGGCATTTCCTGGATTTATGAATTAGTGAGGAATGTTTATTGTTCCCTAGGGTCATCCCGGCCTGGAAGTTGGAAGCAGGGAACTTTAGTCTGGGGACTGCATTTTATTTTTATCATAAAAATATTTGCAAAACTCTTGACAGTCACTTCAAGGTATTCCCAAAGATGGAGCCTAGTCCATAATAAAATATCTTGTGATAAATGGCAGGGTCCCACATTTGGGAAGGGGGTTAAGGCACAGGGCCAGATGACCTATCTCACATCTTCTGCACAAAGTCGTGCTTGGAAATAAGGCTGTGGGTGGCATAGGGGAGAGAAGTTCCCTGAAGGCCCCACGGACCCCCATTACTCAGAGTAGTGTCTTTCTCACCAACTCTACCCACGATCTGTGCAGGTGGAGGCCAGGACAGAGCTGCCCAGGGCTTCAGAACTAATCTGGGTTTGCAGTTGTCTGGTTTTGTTTTTTAGGGGTCTTTAGTCTTAAGCTGCAGACAGAGTGCGATCATCCCAGCCTGGTCACAGCCTGTAGTGTTCAAGGATTTTGACAGCCTGTGGCAGCTGCAGGGGCCTGAGGGGTTTCATATGTGCAAGCAAGCCTGGTGGGGGGGGGGGGCTTGGGAAGGGGGATTTCTGATGGGGGCGGGGTGCAGTGAGGTACCCTAGATACCCTGGACACAGAGGTGGGCAAAGGCCAGCCAGACTGCTTTCCCTTTTCACAGAGCTGACAGGATGCTAATGTCCTTTAGCTGCGGGGCCCCTCTGGATGCGAATGGGGAGGGGACGTGGCAGCTGTGTGCTGTGGGGATTGGGCTGTCAGGGGCTGTGGTGCGGCCCCGGCTCCTGGCCAGCAGGCAGGCCTGGCTATTGATGCACCCGAGCTGCTGCACCCGCTGTTCTTGGGCCTGTGTCCTCCTCTCCAGGACCTATCTCATGTCACATTCCCCCTGAGTTCTCATTCCATTCTGCTAATCCCCGAGAACATGGGCCAGGGCATTAGCTTTYGGGGCCTCTTAAAGACCAAAAAGGAAAGTGCTCCCCCATGGGTGCATTGCGGACATTGCCGGGCAGCGGCTCCGAGGGATTTGGGGCTCTGGGTGGTGAAATCATAGCCACAGGCAGGCACACACCTGCTGGCTCCTGTCACTGACAGGCTGCCGGAAGGCTCCAGCTCCCGCGTTAGTGCATATAAAATTAAAAAAAAAAAAAAAAGGAAAGAAAAGAAAAGAATGATAAAGCGCGAATCCCCTGTGTCTGTAGCGCTTGCTTTGGGCATATGTAACCAGCTTCCAGTTCATCAGCCAAGTGCTCTTTGCATTAGCAACGACAACAAAAGCAGAAAACGCCACAAGCAAGCAAACCCAACCAAACCAAAAAACCCACACGACATGTCTATTTTAATTCTACGAGAAATGCATTGATAATTACTATGCTCATTAGTAAAAAAAAATCAAACATGCAGATAAAGCTAAAGTCATCTTTAACCCTCCCTCTCCTCAAATTAACCTCCACCATCAGTTTCAGGTGTATTGTTCTAGCTAGTTCTCTGTGCATTTGCATAAGTATGTAAATATACCTCTACGATATATTACTTTGTTTCTGTTTTACATAAACTGTGTCTCAGTGTACGTTTCCCTTTGAGGTTTGCATCAGCTTGTTTTTCTTCCCTCCAGAATCCGCTTGGAGGAAATAAAGATCAACGCCATTCTTTACAATAGCACCTTGGTACCCTCTGATCCATATACCCGGGATTTATTTAACTATCTCACTGCTGCCACAAAACCTGAGGTTCTATGCCACCCCCCCCCCCCCCGGGATTGGATTGCGGAGGCAGGTGTAAGTAATTGCCGGAAGTCTGGATTTGGGGAGTGGGCTCACGAGTGTTTATGACATTATTACAAATGAATATATAAATGCATAAATTAGCAAAATAAAAGGGGACATGCTTGGGCCAGTGATGAGAAAGTGTCTATGAACAAAGGATCGTGATTAATCCAGTTCTGCGCAAAATACTGAGGTCCATTAAAAGACAATAGGTCTCCACTGTTCCATTTTTTTTTAAGAGCTATTTAATATTCTGGGGTATTGGCGGGCGGGGGGGGCATTGTTTATTACACCCTCCTCATTGTGGAGAATCCCAGCTGTACCCCCTCCGGGGCGGGGGCAGGAGAATATGTGCAGAGACTCTTTGGTAAAAGTCCGAGTTGTCAAGGTGGGTCACGGGTTTGTGAGTGCCCACTATTTATTAAAAAAATCAAAAATGAGTATGTAAGTAAAAGTGCTCTGCAGCAATCAGTTGAGGAGGGTATGGCACAAGCCGACATTTTAATTAATAGGGTTCTGCTCAACTGATGCCCAGTAAAAAAGACCTAAGCTGCTCCCCCCTTTTGTCATTACTAATGACACTGCAGAGAGCACTCTCTYGTAGCTACATCTGTAAACACATCCCCAACTGCGTTTACCCCACCTTCCTAGAGGTGGGACAGCTGGGTTAAACGGTTCACACAAGTTTATTTTCATTGAGCCATCTTTCTAAAATGCCGTTTTGACCTTGTTTCTGTCTTGCCTTCAATCCTCTATCTGACTTCCCGGAGCTTCCGGGACAGGGTCCAAAACAGAAAAAAAAAWAATAATAATAAGGGAAAAAAAGAAAAGAGAACCTTAGCTTAGTCTAGCATGAGAGCTCCTTCGGGGTCTGGCTAAAATCCCCCTCCCACCTTGTGCCCCACCCTGTTTCCCTGCTAGGCACACTTCAGCTCCGAGGATGCCACAGAGTRGTCTTTCAGCCAGCCCGTCCTTGACCTTTAAGGGCAGCCTTGAAATATCCCCCATGGTGAACCCAGAGTTAGACCCGGCTCCCCTCCACACGTTCCAAAGTCCCTGGAAATGTCATGCCTCATTGATACTGTTTGCGAGTGGGAGAGGGTCTTCACATTTTTCTAGAGTTGACAAAGAGTGGCCAGATGCTAATCACCCCTTTCCTTTGTCCTTTTCCAGAAGCCCCCATCTCCACTGTGTGCTGGGTCTGACTTCCCCTCACTGAGACCACGTCATGTTCTCTTTGGGTCTGATGGGCCGTGTCAGAGGGTCGTGTTTCCTGCTCTGTGGTGCTGGGTGAGTCTGCAGATTACCATAAAGCTGCACACACATGCCAGGGGGCCATGCTTGCACCCCCTACAGTCCCTCTGCACCGGGACCCAAGGCGGGGCATGGGACACAGGCTGAGATCCTGTGATGAGTGTTCGGGTGTAATCACAGCCTGGATACGGCTGATTGCATCTTTACAGCACGTTCCTTGCCAGAGGCAAAGGGGTCTGGTCCCAGGACGTGGGATAGCTGGGTCAGAGTGAAGGTTCTGAGGACAGGGTACCACTGGGCTGAGAGTGGGCACTTCTGCCGCTGGGAATGTTCTAGAAAAGCAGGGGGAGAGGGGCCGTGATGGGCATCAGCACCACCCTTGAGGACACAGGTCTTTGCCTGCATGTCAGGGGAACAAGAGCTTCCAGAATGTTCTTTCCCAGGGAGCGGGGAGGGAGGGAGGCATCTTAAGGAGCTAGCCACCCTGAGCTCAGACCTAGCTACAGAGCAGCGCTGTGTGTCCTTGGCAAGTCCCCAATTGTTTCTGTGCCTTGGTTTCTTGATATTAAAAAAAAAAAAAAGAAAAGGAAGAAGAAGAAAAAAAAGAGCCATAATCTCCCTCGCACAGGGCTATTGAGATCTCAATGAGAAAATAACGCAGATAAATCATCCAGCACAGTAGCCAGCACAGGGCGCAGCGTGCCCAGCAAAGACCCCCGGCGGTCCCCAGCTCATCCATTCCAAGTGCTTAACCCGCCCTGCGGAGCCGTAGCCGCTCCTTTTCAGAGTGAGACCAAACAGAGGAACAAAAAGGCAGTCCCCAGAGAATGCCGACCAGAAAATAAAGCCGCCCCCTGTCACCCGCACCCCTGGCAGGCTCCCCCCAGGGGACACGTGTCCTTTTTCTCAAACACCTGGGTCTGGGGAAGGGGCTGCCCCCTGCAGCTTTTAATTGGGTTCTCCTGAAAAGTTTGGTGAGAGTTTATTTTATTTTTATATAAATACATATAAAAAGTCAGACTGCTCTCAGGCAGATTTTTTAGGCTCATATTTTACAGAGTTTGGCAAGGGTGCCTCGGAAGGAACAGTGGTCGCTGTCTCCAGAGGTAGGAATTCCTGGAAAAAGCTCTGGCTAAGCCTGACTTCTCCTCAATTTCACAGGAAATTCCCCCTGGGCCGGGCCCAGTCTAAATGAGGGTTTTGTGTGTTGGACAAGGTGGCTGTGAGGCAGGACTTTCATGCTGCCTTCATGCAGAGGTGACCCTCTGCGGCCCTCTGTGGGGCACAAAGGCTCCTCTCTCCTAGATTTTCCGTTTCTCTACTCTGGAGCGAGAGCCTCGCGCGGGGGAGATTTCTCCGTGGCTGTTTGTAGACTGGCTCAGGTCTCTGCAGTGTAGCCTCAGATTTTCTGCGGAGACCCCCTTTCCTACCTTCCTCGTGCGTGAGGAGGGAGCCAGACCCTATTTGCAAAAGGAATTGGAAGTGAGAGCAGAACATGGCCAGTGTTCCTTCCCTGCCCGCAAGGGCTGAAGGGCTTGTTGCCCTGCAGTCTCTGGTCCTGCCGAGGGTCTTGGGGTAAACGTACTTCCAGATTGACACCACCAAAGCTCCTCAGAGCCACACCCATCCAGAAAGGTTTATTCACAAAATTCTGCGTGTGAGTGCCTCCTTGTTCCAGGCCCCTCACTGTCCCCCCTCCCGTGTACTGCCGCAGGGGCTGCAACAAACACGCATACGTCACATCTCCAAACGTGTTTACATCGAGTTTCCAATCAATCCTTTAATAGGCGAAAACAACATCAGCAACAACAGCACAACAAAAAACAAGAGAGAGCAAACCGTTTCTCCCCGGCGCGCGGTGCTCAATCAGGCGGCCGGGCAGTCTGTCTGTCCTTAGGCCCGCAGAGAGCGGACCAGCCTGCGCTCTCACCTGCAACGCGATGCTGCCCCCCCACGGCGGGCTAGAGCAGCTGTGCGACCCTGAGGCCAACAGACTGGGCTGTCAGGAGCAGGACAATCAGGCAGCGGCCCCCGGCCGCTTATCCTGAACGGCTCTGCCCTTTCTGAAATCTTCCTGCCTCAGAGAGGTGCGTGTCTGTCCCCCGAGGACTCGCCAGGCCCCCTGTCAGGCCACACGTGAGGGACCCCGACTACACACACACACACACGCTGAGTGTCTGCCCTGGGAACAAAGAGCAGGAGCTCCTTTAGACGCTGCAGAACACAGGCGTGTCGAGCAGAGGCCCTCTGATGAAGGCCCTGTCCACCCACAGCCCCTGGGAATGTGGTGAGGGGCAACTCTGGGCCCCACCATGAGTTGCATCATGTGCATGCAGATCCCTCGTCCCCAGTGCAGGTGAGGGGGCTTTCTTGAGTCCCTGAGCATCCAAATCACAATCTTTCAGCCAGATGGACCTGTGGCTATGACCCAGCCTCCAAAACAGACTTTTTCCATGACTGACACCTCAATTAACCAGATCCCCCAACCCTGCTCCCTTCATAGTTAGCCACCCTACTGCCCAGAGGGGACCCTGGCCAGCATTTCTGGGTCTGGGGGTTGTGCTGGCACTTGGTCAACAGTTGGCACAGCCTCCACAACCCCCACAGGCCCAAGCACTCACCCTCATTCTCTGTGCCCCTCCCTCACTGCCTCAGTGGGACAGAGGTGTCCCCCCTCCCCGTCTCTACAGTTTTGCCATTTAGCCCCGGGGGCAAATGACACGACAGAGACTGTGCATCTTTGCCCTGACCCCAGCCTGCCCCTGGCAGGTCAGCCCCACTCACTTGCTCAGCACTTAGAACTGGGGGAGCTTCTCCAGGGCCTGGATACGAGGGCTGCCAGCCCAGGCAGGAAGCTGCACTGCAGCCTCCTCAGCCAGCACTGGCCTGCCTCTCTGCTTGGATGCCTCCCGTAACAGGGAGCTTCCTTCCTCCCTGAGCAGCTTGCTGACACGCTGAGCTGCTCTTCTCAGCCCTCGACTGCCTGCTGCCTCTGCGGCTGGCAGCAGCCCCCAGCCCCTCTGTCCTCGGGTCTTTGCAGGCTGCCAGCTCACTTTCCTGTCAGTGTTGTGCTAAATAGAAACCCCCACCCACATCTGAACAGGTTTGGGGGCCTCTACACCTGTTTGGGGTACCTCCTCTCTGCCTCKTGGCACCTTGGACAGAGCCCTTTGCCCTGCTGTTCTGCCAGAAGCCCAGGGGAGGGCGTGATGCTTCCCAAGGGGCTGTTCCACGTATATCAGTTAAGCAGCTCTGAGCCCTCTTGTTTTTTTTTTTTTTTTTTATGGCCCCTTCGCCAGTTGCCAGGGAGAAAGATCTCTAGGCAAAGCCCCCTGCCTTTCCTGCGGAAGCTGCTGGCTGGCCCTGGTCAGCCCTGCAGCAGCGGCAGCAGCAGCTGCGGCAGAACTGGGGGGCTCCCTGTGCAGACTGACCGACTCGACCCCAGCTCTCCAGCTATGAGGCCACGGCAATTCCCTTGACTTTTTAGAGCCTCGGTTTTCCCCCTGTGAAACGGAGATGAGAGTTTCTCTCTCACCAGCTTGAAGAAAGGACTCAATGAGATAAGAGTAGCCTAGCACACATAAGACACTTCATAAATGCTTGTGGAGTCAACGGTAGGAACCCGGGAAGGAGGGATACACGTAACAAGTGTCCTAAGAGAGAAAACAATCTGGCCTTTCAAGACCCTGCACCGCATACAGACGGGAACCTCTCCTGGCAGAGTCCCCTCTGCCGGCTTAATCGCACAAATCAAGTCAGATGCAGGCAGCCCCCGGCCTGCGGGACTCACAGTAGATGCAGCAGGCAGCAGAAATGACACGCAGAGCCCACGTCTGCATTTAACGGACTCAGAATTTGCATCATATATAACAGCACCGTAGGCAAAGCATGAAGGCATAAAAAAATATTTTCCCCTGCTACTTTTGAAGGGCCACCTTACACAGAG